TGTCCCCCATTCCACCCCCTTGTTCCCCGCCCTCTGACTGCCCCGCCCCCTATCCACACCCCCTGCCACCTGACCACCCCCCCAAACTCCCCTGCCCTCTATCCAACCCGCTCCCTGCCCCCTTACCGCGCTGCCTGGAGCACCAGTGGCTGGCGGCGCTACAGCTGCACCGCCCAGAGCATTGCGCTGGCGGAGCGGCGAGCTGAGGCTGCGGGGGAGGGGCCGGGGGCTAGCCTCCCGGGCCAGGAGTTCAGGGGCTGGGCAGGAGGGTCCCGCGGGCTGTAGTTTGCCCACCTCTGCTTTAGAGTTCCCTCTGCCTGGCCCCTTGATGATCAGACGTACCTATGCTTTGTCCCATGGCTGTGATGAGTGCCCTGTCCAAATTGACAGTCTGGCTCTCTATTTATGCTGAATGCTCTGAATTTTCCTCTCTTCATTTTACATCCGATGAGAGAACTGCGGTTGTAACTGCTTCATAGTTTCATGGCTTTTGGAGAGGGGGAGAAATATACACCCCCGTCCAGCTGTGGGGAGCAACCTCGCACAAAACTAGCTGTGTTTGGCTTTTCAGTGCTGGATAAAAAATGGACCGAGCTGGACAACAGCCAGCATCGTACCCATGCCATGCGGCTTCTTGATGGGCTGGAGGTCACTGCCAGGGAGAAGAGGCTCAAGGTGGCCCGAGCCATCCTCTACGTCGCACAAGGTATGTTGCAGTGTCGGCAGAAGAATTGGTCCTGTTCTGAAATCCCTGTTAACTTTTCTGTGTAGAATCTTTATTAAAGGGGCACCCAGGTTAGAAATCATCTGTTTAACACCAGCTTCCCTCCCCATGTCCCTGGTCACACCTGCAGCCGTTAGATCGGAATTAACTTGTTACGATTGTTGCCATCTTACCTGTTGTGCATTCAATGAGTCATTTTCACCTTTATTTCTAGTTGGGTTCCTGTTTAGGGGCTCGATTCTGAAGCATAAGGGGTAGCCCAGGAGGGTCTGGGGCAAAGGTTGATTTAAGCTGCGGAGCTGCATCCTCCAAAAGCGCCTCGAATAATAATAATAATTAGTATGTTGTTTAAAATGCCTTTGCAATACCCATGTTCTTCCTGCACTGAGGGCTGCTGTGGCCCCAGTCAAATTAAGAGCAGCTTGGGCTTTGTCTGCCAGTGGAATGCTCCATAGGCCAGAATGGCTGTGGGGCTGAGCACTGTCCCCACTCCCTCTCCTACCCCCAGGCCTGTCCCCTATGCTGTGGGCAGCATGGGGCCACGCACCTGAGCCTTACAGAGCTGCCACAGCGAGGGGAATTCTCCCTCTGGCGGTTGTATCCATTTTACACTCCCTATATCAGATCAGCGTGTATGGGCCGGGGACGGGGCCAAAATCTGGCCCCAGGTTCTCCTGCACTAGCTCAATGTGGTAAAGTTTGGGTTGCAAATGCTTCAGGGGAAATCTTTAAATCCAAATGCATAATTTTAACTGAAAAATATTTCTCTTAAATACTTTTGTCCAACTTCTAACCAAGTAGATGGGGCACCGGAACGGGAGTTGATCTAATTTCTTTTTTTTCCCTGAGACCTGGAGCAAGTTTCTTCCCCTCTCCGTGCCTGTCTTCCTGTCTGTCATCCGTGGATCAGATTCGCATGGGCTCTCTGAGGCTTGCTTGAATGTCTGTGAAGTGCACTGAGATTCTTGACGGAAAGGTGATCCAATAATAACGTTATTACAGGCACCTTCGGAGAGTGCGGTTCCGAGGCTGAAGTTCAAGCCTGGATGCGATATAACATTTTCTTGCTACTGGAAGTTGGTACCTTCAACGCTTTGGTGGAGCTTCTGAACATGGAGATTGAGTGAGTATCATGGGGCTGGGGATATGAAAAGCTGTGCCCGAAGAGTTTTGGTAACCTGTGCGTGAACTACTCCACCTGGATCTTTTTCCAGTTTGTGAAAGATGCTCACTTCCCAGCAGCTCTCTGCTCCCAATCCAGTTTCCGTTGGAGTCAGCGGGAAGGCTCCTGTTGACTTCAGTGGGGGTTGGATTGAGCTCTGTCTCCAAGGACCAGGGGCAATGTAGGCAGCAGTAAGTTTTGCAAGTTTCAGAGTGCTTCACGCGTGTCCTGGAGATACTGCCTCCAGGTCAGTCCAGTCAATCCTTGGTAAAAAGCAACAGAGGGTCCTGTGGCACCTTTGAGACTAACAGAAGTATTGGGAGCATAAGCTTTCGTGGGTAAGAACCTCACTTCTTCAGATGCAAGGCATCTGCAAGGCATCTGAAGAAGTGAGG